TTTTAATTTTATTTCAATAAATGATACAATAGAATAAGAATTTTAATTATAAAATTTAAAATATTTAATATTTTATTTTTAATTGGAGTATTTTTTGTCCAAGTATTATATACCTACAAATTTCAAGGGAGTCTAAGTGTAATTTATTAATTGATATATTTACAATAGGGGTCTAAGTGTTATGCGAGTACAAGCCTAAAAAGAGTCTGTGTGTAATTTTTCAAATGTCAGGGGTCTAAGTGATTAAGTGATAAACCTTAGGGGGTCTGAATATAATTCTCCCTAAATTATATTATTGAAAGTTTGTAAAAATTAGTTGAAATAGTTAGGTAAAATAGAGAGAATTGTTGGAGTGAACTTATAAAAATAACTAGTTAAAGTAAATAATGTAATATTTAAATATATTTAGGATAGCCATTTTGAAGAACTGAGTTGAAGTTGCTCTAAAGCCATGGATTTATGGCCTTTTCAATTCAAAGATATTTTCCCGAAATGGTACTGATCTACCTTGGAAAATTATAAAAACTTTAGGGTTATTATTTGTTATAACGATGAAAGTGTTGGGCTAACGACTGTTAGCCTCCGACGATAAACACTTTTTTTTGTGTGCATGATGATAATGGTAAAGTCCTCGACTAATATGTTCCTTCATGCGCTCTTTTTTAAAGTGACTGTATTGGGTAATGACCGAAACCATGTAAAAAGGACCATCACCCTTAGAAATGCATTGGGGCTAAAGGAAGGTTGATGCACTAATATTGAACATAGATAACACTAAATGATTTACTAAATGAGCTTATAACGTGCTCTCTTTTTCTCTGATTTCACGGAGTCCAGTGTGTGTTTGGTGCATGGGGAGCCTGTCGGGCCGAAGGAGAAGAGAAGGAGAAGGCTATACAGTCTGCAAAAGAATCGCTAGCGCTTATCGAGAATCAGATCAATGGGAAGAAGTTTTTTGGAGGAGAACAGATCGGATTTCTGGATCTGGTGATTGGTTGGATGTGTCGTTGGCTCGAAGTCATGGAAAAAGTTGGGGGCATGAAGCTACTTGACCCTCAAAGGTTCCCAGTACTCTATGAATGGGCTCAAAACTTCATGGAAGTTCCAGTCATCAGTGAATGTATGCCACCAAGAGAATATTTGGTCAACTATTTCCAAGCTAGCCTCTCCTACTTGAGTTCCTTATCCGCTAATAAGCAATGATTTTCTGTTTTTACAAAGACCAATTTGCTGGGATTTGTTAAATATCACTGCATCTGAGTCATGTGTGTTTGTTTTTTTTTTCTTTTCATACATCTGTTTTCTTTTGGCTTGCTGAATGATATGATCTTGTACGATTGTATCTGATGATGTGTGGACTAGAAATGTAACGACATCCAGTAAGTTCGTGTATGATGAGTAAGCTGGAGAGCTTGAGGCTTGAATGTTTGACTGCAAATATGATAATTAGACAAATGGACAATAAAGATGCTCAATTTATTGTGGTTCACCAATTTCAAAACTTAACTAGTTCATTTTAATGGAATCTTTTATTTCCTAAAAATTTTAGTATTTACTTGGGGAAGAATACGGAGGTGTCCGGGGGTATTTATCCTCATGGGTCGCATGGTCCCCCATCCATTACCTCTTTTTTTTTTTTTTTCTCAAGTTTGTTTGGATGGTCCCTTACTTTATTAGGATTCCTAAGAAAATGTCAGGACATTTGAAGACACATACTTTTGGTGTGACGTGGCTCATTCTTCCGGGAGCTGATTGCCGTGGCCTAGGGGAGGTAGATGCCCGGTCTGTACAAGCTGCGTGGTTAATACCTGCGAGTCCCCACCTAACCATCTTTTGACTATTGGATTTGATTACCAACCGAAAAGGTTAGCTATTATGTCCTCTGAATCAGCTGGTGCGGAACTCCCATGCAACCTGGAGGTCAGACATCCTTTCTTGATGGTGACTTCCTTTGCTATGCTGGGAGGGACATTCATGTTCGCATAGTTTTAAAATTTGGCCCGGACACCGACCGAAAGAAGGGTTCGAGTCAATGAATTTTCGGTTTAATCATTGAGTCATTGGTCGAATCGGTGATATAATAAAAAAATAAAAAATAAAAAATAATTATTAATGATGATAAATAGATTAAAAAATTAAAATAATTATAAAAATAACATGTTTAATATATATTAAATCAAACAAAGTTATCAAGCCTGAATCACTTAATTACACTCAATTAATAAACAAATGCATTCAATTAACAGTCCAGCCTCTACCCTCAAACTTGAATCATTTAATTGTATTCACTTAATTTTTGAGTTAACAAACACTGAACGAATGATTTAAGATTTAGGACAACACAGAAAGGGAAAAGAAAAAGACACAAAAATGTAAAAAAAAATACATATTTATACTAAAGAAACAAAATCGGCCGGTTTTGTAAATCCGGTCCAATTTTGACCGGTTCACCGGTTTTTTGACCAGTTCACTGGTTTTATTCCGGGTTCTTTGCTCAAACGGTTCAATTACAAAACTGGCCCAGTTAGGGGACCGGTTCACCGGGTCACTTGGTCAACCTGCCGGGCCGGGCGAGGTTTTAAAACACTGATTGTTCGAGTTTGAGCTGTTATTTATGTAATTAATATGTGGTAAGTGGCATTTTTCACGTTTATGTAATAATAAAATAAGTAAATAGCAATAATCTTGAATTTGCTAACTTTTTTTACCAATCTAATTAATCGTCACATAGACAGAATCAAGATTTTATTCTAAAGAGAGTCAAACAATAGCATATTTAAGTATTTTATTAAGTAGATTAGCAGTTATACAAAACTTATCATGATTAACTTGCATACAAATAATATTGGAAATCTATTTTGGGTCATAAATCCAAAGATCAGTTCTTACTATCTTAAATTTTAGGTTGTGACGGTGTCATGATTCTTTACTGTCACATTATGATATCAAGTAATTATTTTGAATAAATTATCCTCACAAATAATAGCTTTGTACGATAAGATGGTAAAAACGAGTCGTAAGTTAATACGTAACTTTTGATACAAGTCACATTTGTAATTTAATTTCACAACAATATTACATTTTGTTTAATTTCCTTGTCATCAAACTCATCCTGCCAAATATAATGTGTAAATCATTACCCAGCCTTTTATTATTAAATATCAATTCATTAGTCTTTTCAAATGGACTAAATTGTCTATAGATGACGTTTTTTAGTACCCAAGGAAAAACAGAGTTTTTTTAAAACTTATGGGGTGTTTATTGGAATTTTTAAAAATGTGAGGGGGGTAATGGCCCCCTAAGCCATTCTTAGTTCCGCCCATGGTTATCCCAGATACTCCTGACTAGGAGGTCGGGGGTCAGTTCCAACCTATATAGTAAAGATTAGTTTCCTACGTCTCTCTGTTTTGTGGTTACTAGTGACTTGCACATGTGCAATTTGCACGTGATTTATGTTGATATATAATTAATGTTATTGGGTCTAAAATTGAGATTAAAACGTGACCATCTAACATTAACTAGTACCTTTTCCTGGTCAAGTTTGAATTAGTTAGGACAACTTTCATCCAAATCTATTAAAACAAATTTGGACAGGGACGAATATAACAGGTGGAAACACCCTTAAATTCCAGTAGGCCTTCTTGGTGTCCTTGAAGAACTAACTGTGCAATATAGGCTCGTAGGACAGAGAAGACCCTAACATAGATTCTAGTTGAATAAGAATTTCAAGCACATTAACTTATTAGAAATGAAGTAAAAATTATGATCGCACTTGTATCACTTCGGAACAAGCAAAGATTCACTCAAAATTCCACATCAACCATCTGATCTTGTACCACACCGAAATATCGTAAACGCAATGACTTTATTAGTTTCACCATTCCTTCCTGCTATTAACAGCTAATGGAAGATTCATAAGCAACATCATGATATATAGCCTCGGCCAATCATTGCAAATGTTTGCAAGAAATAGTGGTTAAAAAATGAACCCACAAATTTTTCATAACCAACTAAGCTAGGAGGTTTAATTTAAGTTCCCTCCGCAAAGCTATCACCAACGGAGCATCACAAAAGGGATAATTGCAACTTAGCATTCGGAGAGATCTAAAGCATCCTTCAGAAGATATTTAAGGTCTTTTCATCTCTTCATGAGGCATCTTCTAGGCAAGCGCAGCACTACCATCACCACCTGTGTCAAAAATCAAAACGTTCTTCCTACTTATGTATTCCAGGAAATCAAACATTCATACTTACATACGACCAAATCAGGGAAAAAGGCTCAAAATTTAGCGGAAAAAAAAAACTTGAACGATTTTTTTTTGTTGCTTCATGCTAATTGAGATTAAGAGGGGAAAAAGTACAAAAGAAATCAAGATGCAATCTTATACAATTTTTCGTTTTTGATGGAATTGTAACACTAAAGCTTGAATCCTCTGTCTACACTTTATCACAGAAACATCAAGACCAGAAAAACACACATCCTATCCTACAAACACACACTTGTATGAATTCTTTTGGGCTCGCAATGGGGGACTTATTACACAGTTATCTTTGGATTACCAATGAATCCCAACATTAGATGCATAGAGAATGGGAAAATAATTGATTACATCTATATTTCAATTGTGTGGTTACAGGCTGAATTTATAGAAGTATATACAGTGGTTGAGTTCAACTAGAACTCTATGTGTTGTGGCTTGAATCTGATGACCTTCATCTGCTAGCTTTTGGATAGCTTGGCATTTAAATTTTTGTTGCAAATTGGTAATTATCCTATATCTTTGATACACTTCGTCAGACAAAGCGTGTTTGGAAGCTTTTCTCAAAGGAAGAGAAAACGTCAAGATGGCAGGGGTTTAGTGAACACATCGGCAATTTGGTCCTTCATAGAAAGATACCAAACTTCCTTAGTTTGGAAACAAATTTCTCCCGAACAAAGTGAAAGACAATTTTGACATGTTTCATCTGATTGTGGAAAATCGGATTCGCTGTGAGGTATGTAGCTCCAATATTATCACAGCAAGGAGACACATTGGCTAAGAAAGTTTGACTTCTGTTAGAAGTGATTGAATCCATGTTAATTTGGCAGTGGCATCAGCGAGTGCATAGTTCTTGTTAGACCTTTGTGGAGTCTAGTTTGTGTGTTGATTCGGATAATGACCCGACCCGAAATAATATTGCGTGATTTTTAATGAAATTTTTTTTAAGACTTGGTCCATGGAGCGAAGGCTTGGACATATAAAAACCGTTATTTTAGTGTTTAGGGTTTGATTGAAACTATATAACCTCCCTCTTTATTCCTATCTCTCAATAGTGAAATTCCTGTAGCTTCGTGGACGTAGGCAAATTGTCGAACCACGTAAAATATGTGTGTCTTGTTCTTTCTTGTTTCTTATTGCTTTATATTCTTGGTTTGTTCTTCAATTATGTGTGTTTGTCTGTAGATTTATAGCATATTAAATCCCAACAACTGGTATCAGAGGTCTAGGTTAATAGGTCAAGGGTTTACACAATGGCTGAAGACAAAGTCAAGATCGAAAAATTCAATGGCACGAACTACGTGTTTTGAAAGATGCAGATGGTGGATATTTTATATCAGAATGATTTGTATCAACCTATCAGTGGGACGAACGTAACGGATATGGAGCAAACAAAGTGGAATGTTCTGGATCGCAAAGCCCTAGGGATTGTGTGACTGTGCCTCGCGCCTTCTATTGCGTCGAATATCGCCAAAGAAAAGATTACATCAGATTTGTTCAAAACCCTAGAAAAGATGTACGAAAAACCTTCAGCAGTAAATAAGGTATATCTTATGAAAAAGTTGTTTATCCTAAAGATGTCTGAAAACACTGTTGTTGTTGAACATATCAACGAATTTAACACGGTCATGAATCAGTTAGAATCCGTGAGCATTGTTTTTGATGATGAAATCAGAGCTTTTATCCTTTTATCAAGTTTGCCGAAAAATTAGAATGGACTTGTCGTGGCAGTAAGCAATTCTTTTCGGGTCTGCAAAGATAAAATTGAAGGATGTTGTAGCATTGATACTAGAAGAAGAGGCTCAGAGAAGAGCATCAAGTGAGGATGTTATTTCAAGTTCAGCACTCAATACGGAGGAGAGAGGCAGGGTTATGAATAAAGGAGGCAATAAAAATGGCAAGAAAAAGTCGTATTCGATAAATATAGGCCGAAGTAAATCTCGTGGCAGAGATGAGGGCTGCTGGAACTGTGATCAGAAAGGGCACTGGAAGCGGGACTGCAAGGCACCGAGAAAAGAGCATAATGGGAATAATTAAAGAGGTAAAAATACTGTTAATATTTCTGACGAGTCTAATAATGATGCTTTGATTTGTTTGCTGGATTCTCGCAGTGAATCTTGGATTGTAGATTTTGGAGCTTCATTCCATGCTACTCCACGCAGGGATGTGCTACAACACTATGTGCAGGGAAAATTTGGTAAAGTGTAT